AGTACGAGGACACGTCCGTAGAACTGATGTGTCCCAACTTGAGAATTATACGCAGCTTCAGGTTGCCGGGTCGTGCTGCTACTATATGTTATATAATCATATGCACACATAGAAATATATATAATGTATTTATATATACATAAAACTTTTTTTCTATTAAGATCGTTTATTAATTGCTACAGTTCATTTGCCGACTCGCTGAAGATAGCAGCGTCGTCTGCAAATTTTAGATTGTTTAGATGTTCGTCCCTATTTTGATATACTCTCCCTTTCATTCTATCTTCTTGAATATTTTTCAAGGCAAGCTGTAAACAATTTTGGTGATATGGTGTCGCCCTGACTAACACCTTTTTTTGATTGGTATTTATCGGTTTATGTATGAAGCTTGATGGTTGCTGTCCCATCTTTATATGTATCTTCCAATATTTTACAATAGACTTTCTCTATTCCTTGTCTTCGGATAGCTTCTAATACTGCTGGTATTTATTCAGAGTCAAATGCCTTTTCGTAATCGAAGAATGTCATACACAGGTTTTTTATATTCATTTATTTTCTCTGTTATTTGGGTTAGTGTGTGGATGTGGTCTGTCGTTGAGAATCCATTGCGGAATTCTGTCTGTTCTCTACGCTGGGTAGGATCTAATGATGGAACAGTTTGTAAATAACATTTTTTTTTTTTTTTGATATTTTCTATCCCCTTTTTATGTATCAAAATAAATGTTGCGTTTTTCAAGTTTTCGGAGGGTTGCCGTTGACAAGCCATTTGTTAAAAAGATTGGATAGTTTTATGATTTCTCCAGCATCTATTATAAGGGTCTATACTAATTTCGTCTTCACCTGGCGTTTTCCCTCTCTTCATGGTTTTGTGTGCTTTTTATTTCTGCTACTCTGACTACTGCGTTTACTTCTGTACATGGCTGTCCCCTTGACTTGTACAAATCCCTATAAAAGTCTTCCGCTACATTGATTATTTAATTTTTGTGAAATGTCACTTCTCCGTCTGGTTTCTTTATTGCATACATTTGATGACTCTTTATATCAAGTCTCCTTTTAGCTGTTTTCATGCTGGTCCCAGAAATCATTATTTCATTTATTTTATGAATGTTGAATTTACTTAAATACTCCCTTATTTTTTCTTTATCGATTCAGCTTATTTTATTTTATCCCTGTTTGCCGACATTTCCATGGCCTTACGTTTTTGCATAAGCTGTTTAGTTTCTACAGAAGGCTTGCTGGAGCTTTGCAAGTTTTTACCGCCTGCTTCAAGTGCATCTTCCTTTATTATGTTATTGAACTGTTTGTTGATTTTTCAATGTTAGGATCTTAGTGAGCGATGAGCATCTGTTAAAGCTAAATTCTGGTCTTCAATCTAGCTGGATTTGGCACCGGCTGTCACATGAGTTTATTCCTTTCCCTTCCCTTTCCTCTCTAGCCATTCTATTTACTTTAGTAATAACTTCCATATTTTTTCACTATATCACGCTTATTTGAAATTATGATGTCAATTTTGTTTACGATTTCAGATGGTGACTTCCAAGTTCACTTCCCCTTTAGTCTTTTTTCGAAAATTGTATTCATGATACTGAATGATCGAGCCGCAGCAAAATTGATTAGCTTTTGTCCCCTCGCATTTCTGGTGCCTCATTCAGTGCTAGTAAGTCGGATTAATTTCTCGTAATCTCAGTGTTGTAAATTCAAAGGGTCATTGTCGTCGGAAATTTTTAACATCCTATGCTCCGGAGCGATCCTGATCGCCGCCGTAACAAGGGCTTCCAGGGAATGAGGGCCGTTGAGTTTTTTTTCATGATTGCGGAGTAGACAGCCGAGAACCCCCCCTCCCCCAGCCTACTGACTTAGACGTATCTAGATAGGGGGGGGGGGGAGTAATTTAGCCGAATGCGACTAGTAAACCTTTCCAGCAGTGTTGAACCTGCCTCGCATGGATTTGCAACATGGACTTGGAACACACGGGCCTGCTGACTACATTGGGGTATGCTCCCGTGACCATCGGTATCAGAAGTATCAGAAGTGCACATTTTGGAATATATGCTCTATACACACACACTCATATATGTTCGTATGTGTGCGTGTGCATATATATGTATGTACACACATATATACGTGTGTGTGTGCATATATATGTATGTACACACACACACACACACACACACACACACACATATACGTGTGTGTGTGCATATATATGTATGTACACACATATATACGTGTGTGTGTGCATATATATGTATGTACACACATATATACGTGTGTGTGTACATATATCTATATCTATCTATCTAGAAGTGTGTGTATCCACACACGCACACACACACATATACGTGTGTGTGTGCATATATATGTATGTACACACACACACACACACACACATATACGTGTGTGTGTGCATATATATGTATGTACACACATATATACGTGTGTGTGTACATATATCTATATCTATCTATCTAGAAGTGTGTGTATCCACACACGCACACACACA